CTTTCACGTCAAAACGGTGAGACGGTTTGGTGATTTTTTGTGTGGAGATAGTTGGAGAGCCGGAGAGTGACATAGGCTACTTTTTACCTCGGGAGATCATCTAATTCCCCCGGGAAAACACGTTATAATACAATCCAAAAAAATATTTATGGTCAGAGTTCCTTGAAACTTGGTATAAATGCTCTTCAAAAAAATTAAACAAATACTGGTTTTAGCATTTTTCGAAATTTATCCTATAAGGAGGTAAAACAGGGAGTGAAAGTTTGTATGAAACTACTCTTTTAGAGATTTTTTGTAGTTTTAGCGCGAGCGAACCCCCGGGTTCTGCTATTATTATTATAAAATTAAAAAAAAACAAAATATGATTTCAAACGTAACTTCAAACGTTTATTTTGCTACAATGTTGCCACGTAATCGATTCAAGTATGTACATTTAACCTTAGGGACAAGTGAATCTATTATTACTTTATTTATTGTAAGGAAATTTGTGTACTAAAATAGTACAATATGGTAGTAGCAGAGAAATATTACTCTGACATAAATTATATCAAGAATAGTGATAGTTTAATTAGTGGGCAAATTAATTGTTTTAATGTATGTTGTTAAAGCAAGAAAGTGTCTATGTACAAAGGCAGATTTGTGTTACTGACTAAATATTTATTTGCGTGTATGTATTCAGCCCTTTTTAACGTCCCATTGCTGGGCACGGGCCTCCCTTCAGTACGAGGGGGATCAGGCCATAGTCCACCACACTGACCCAGTGCGGGTTAGTGGACTTCACATGTCTTTCGAAAACTTTCTAGGTTCTCTCAGACATGCAGATTTCCTCACGATGTTTTCCTTCGTTAAGACAAATGGTAATCATGTTGGAAATGATTTGCACATGAAAATATGTGTATATGTATAATATGGTGCGAGACCCGGGATTTGAACCCGCTTCACTCGGTTTCCCAAGCGAGCGCGTTACCCCAGTGGTAACTGCGTCTTACTAAAACTAAATATTTATTTATTCTACTTAAAATTAAAACAGGGCAAAAAGGAATTTACCAAACAATCATATTCCAAAAAAATCTTTCAAAATCAGTCAAATTATATAAATGAGTGAAAGAATATATTGTTACTTTTTGATACTGTCATGAGTGAAATTCAGAATTGACATAGAGTATTATATTCTAGACATAAACATAGCTAGATTCTACATACGTACCATGCGAAAGCCACAGGCATGGATTAGTTTATTGTAATAATAAATAATCAGATGAAAATTCTGGGGACTCAAGATGTACAATGATGTACAATGTATGGAGAAAAATGTATATTTTATAATTTAAAAAAAATAAAGAGGTATTTAGAGATCGTAGAGTTTGGCACACTATACACTCTGATTACCCCGCAAGAGCATACAATTGTACTTCTGCTTATTTTATTATTGCGAACTTTTGTATATGTGTATCTTACCAATCCTTCACGGCAAATGGCTGGAGTGGTTTGAATAAAATTTCAAACACAGATTGACTATAGTTTATACGTAAAGTAGCATCACTTGAAATAAATTTAAAAAACGGATAAAAAGTACAAGGGGCTTACATCCTGTAGAAATCATGATAAATCTTCAAAGTGTCTCTACTAAATTCAGATAATACTGAGAATTAATTAAGGAAAAGTAATTAAATTAAATACGTATGTATTATATAGGTATACCTAACTTTAAAGTCACATTGAATATTTGATAGATATAATCAAAACATATTAAGTTATTATATTACCTAAAACACTTTATTTCTTTAAAAAAAAGTTATATTATGAATATATTTAAGATAAAATTTACTATACAGATATTTATGTCGTTAGCAAATCAATTTATACTCTGTAAGTTAAGATTAATATAGATAGAGTGCCATAGACCAAACGCCAAGCCAAACAATGATCTGTAAGTTAAATAAATATATATAGTTAACATCGATCAAAAAAGTATGATACTTGATCGATGATAATAAAAATATTTTATAAATGTCTTTATAAATTATTGACAAGACTGTGCCAGTGTAGGTTATAAATCTGTAGAGTCAATATAAGTAAAAATATTTGGATAAATAAAATTGATTGAAACAAAAAAGCGAACGTACGATAAAAAAAGACAAAGGTAAGTTCAATTTTTAAAGTATAAAAACCGCTTAATGATGCTAATTAAAAGAAAAGGTCTAAAGCAAAGGCAGAATGCAAGATACAGTCGAGGAGGTAAGATTTAAAAAGTTTAAAAGGGTTTGGCGGGAAAACCTGCCGCGTCACAAAGGAGTTCAGATTTCGTTCAACAGTTTTTTTTTTCAAAATTTCCCGCGCTTTGATGTCACCCTCAAAAATGCCCCTCTTGCGAATGCTTAAATAAAATATTGTTTAAATGTGATCCAATTTAATAGTTTAATTACATACCCATTTAAAATCACATTAAACTTATAATTTATGCAGTAATAATGTATAAAATTAATATAATTTTACTACAAAACTACTTATTATGTAATATTTTATAAGTTGACGTATTTTTAGCGTATTTTCTTTTGCCGCTTTCGGTTCATATAAAATTTCATATTATATTAAAGTTATTAGACTTAATTAAAACACTTTTATTGAAGCATTTCTAGTAAGATAAAGAAAAAGTTTACTATTGAATTACAATAAATATAATATTTAAATGGCAAAATGCAACGTTCACTGCTGCAGCAATATGTTAGGAGTACAAGAATTTCGATAGAAGACAGGACATATTTTGTAAAGATAAAACATTACCATTTAACTTCAATTGTGCACAGAATTCATTTAATCTTATTTAACTGATAAAAATTACTCAGTTTTGAATTTTTGGTGCAGCCACAAGCAACAACATTTAATAATTACCTACATGTGTTTAAGAAATACTGTTTTTTTTGTATTATTTTCATATTTATTTATTTATAAAAAATAAATTTATTGCATATGTTTGCATGTGTTTTAAGCTATTAGTAATTAGTTGTCACCTACGGCTTTATTATAGGACTAGCTGTGTCCCGCGGTTTCACCCACATTAATTTATTTTATTTTAATAAATATCAGTTTTACAATAATAAATGTACCTAAGTCTGCCAGTTTGTTGACATTTATGATTAATTCTCTGCTCCCTTGGGTAGTAGCATGATGATATATGCCCTATAGCCTTCCTAAATAAAATAAATATTTAATGCAAAAAGAATTTTTCAAATCGCATTAGTAGTTTCTGATATTAACGCGTTCAAACAAACAAACAATCTCTGCATCTTTATAATACAACCAAAAGGCTGACAAAATGTCTATAAAGTTGTCTAGAACCTAAGCTACATTCCAAAAAATCCAAACGTAACTAGAGCCGTTATAGAGTAAAAAAGAAGAAACAACACACATTCATTCAGAAACTATGCAATATATAATATTATGACTGATTTTACTATTATGATAAACATATTTTTATTACTACGTAATTACAATATAAAAAGCTAAAAGATTAGAGATGAGAATAAGTTTTAAGTATCTTTACATGACTCTATTATTTATGTTGATTATTTTCGAACTCTCTATTTAAGCACTTTGACATTATTTCTGAAATATTCATATTAATTTTCAATATATATCTTTTGCTACGTATAATTTAGTTTATATTTTTTTTTGAATTTTTTTTCGTGGGTATTTTGTCTCACATTCAGATACGATAACTCCAGATGTTTTTAAATAAAATAACTAATAAAATACCTACTTAAGAAATTACATTTCAAGTTTTTATTTCTTTGTTTAGATAAGTTTAAAATAAAAAAATAACTTTAAAGTACATACACAAATATTATGTAATAATCATAAAATATGGATAGTTCTGATTTGTGATATATCCATTGGTTCACTGTACTCCTATAAAAGTTGGTGACATGTAAATATTAATAGCTTGTGATGTGAATGCCTAATTTTATTGCCAAGTTTGAAAGATATATTAATTATATTTTTATCATTCTAAAAAACGGTAAAATACTAAATTCATATACTAATATTATTATTTTTTTCATATTTATATTTAAACTCACATTGTTTGATAGCAAATATTATAATATAAAAAAAGCACTAACTCCCCAAATTTAACACTTATACCCTCAATGTTTTCTTCCCTTTATTTAAATAGCTTATTTAAGTCTTTGTAAAAAATAACACCAACAAAAGAGTTATAAAAAGTGTCACACGTTATAATTAGTGCCAAAGCACATCCCGTCGGATGTTACGGTTAAGCGAAAAATGCGCCTATGACTCATACTGAATCCTAAATGTAGAGCACATAATTATAAGAATTTTATTTACTTAAAAAAAGTGATAATTAAAGTAAACTTATATAACATAAAAAAATATTTATTGAATTAGAATTTGTATTGATGCTTTTTCAAGACTATTTGTTAGAGTAAAAAGAGTTTTGACCCTATTTGTAATAAAATAAAAATCTCTGATCTTTTACAAATGCACTTTTAAAATACGCTAAAATATGAAGCATGTCAATTGAAATAGAGATACATATAAATTAACCGTAATGGAAATGTTTTGATCGTAATAGAGTCTTGCTTGAAGCGTCATTTATCATAATTCTCAGAGCAAAATTATATTTAATATGTTTAAACTAGGAGATTTTTTATAGACCATCAACCAGTTTGTAAATTGTAAAACCGGAATTTTGAATGAATTTTAACATGTATGAGTCGACGTTACAACGTTCGTTGATAAAATTTAAGCAGACTTGTTTTTGTAAACAACTCTACTATTTCGTGTTAACTTTTATGTTTACAAATATAGCTAATGACCTAATGCTTTCCACTTACCGACTCCTATATATATCTATATTATGTGAATTAAGGGTAAACGGTTCACACACAACACTCAGATCACGATTTAGGTCGGATAACAAAGCGGGCACGATCACAGGACGAGCGTCGGTGGCGCGTTTGGCCTGAGGCCGTACTGACCTGCCACTCTTGGTGATCACCATCTCGGTGCCGAGCTTGTGGAACTTCTCCCAGAGGTCCTTTCCCTCGAGGGTGACTTTGGGGTCGTCAACGACCCCGTCGTCGTCAGGGGGTAGCGGCGCATACGGCGGCGGCGGCGGCTTGAGCAGCGGACAGGGCGCGGACAGTGCGGCAGCGGCGGCCAGCGCGGCCGGCAGGTAGGGCGGCGGCGGTAGCGCGCCCGCCGTCAGCAGCGCCGACACAGAGAAGTCACTCGGCCGCGGCGCCAGCAGCGGGTGGAAGGCGACGGCGTCGCGCCGCTCCGCGCCCTCGAAGCGCATGCCCGCGCCGCCCGGGGCCCACGGCGCGCGCTCCACGGCCGGCGTGCCCGTCGGCTCCAGCGGTCGCGCTCGCGCCCGCTCATGCAAGGGCCATCGACGGCACGTTCACGCGCACTCGCGATGTGTAAGCTCCGTGCGACACCCGCTCGCGCGGCAGGCGTCAAACGACTGGCCGGCGGCGGCGCGTCCGACACCCTCCCGCCGCGGCCAATGGCGGCGCGGCCCGCCCCCGGGCGCGGGCGGGGGGCGGGCGGTGCGCGGGGGGCGGGCGGGGCGCGGCGCCGTCAGCCTTGTTTTTTCGTCGCACGAGGTGTCCGCTCCGCCACACCTCGCCGCGGACTCGCGGTCGCTAATCTGGTTAATGCGGAGCGCGGCCGCCTCCTTCTAATTGGACACGTTTCCGTTCGTTCATCAATTGAGCTCGTTTTGACGATATCTTTTGAACGGCCGCTCTTCGAGACGAGACTCTAGCACTTCTTAGCTTACAGCAGCTATAGTTTTACAACTATTTTCACTTCCTTTCTATCGTAACCAAACTTTACCACGCTGCTTGTACGTGGAACTGTATAGAAAATTTTAAACTTCATTTGAAATCGAGTATAAGCTTACACTTTACTTTTACTTATAGGTACTTATTTTTATTTTTCTTCCAAATGTCTTTTACCTATATTATACCTACCAATATTTAAGGAATACTAATAGAATTAAATATATAGTATTTGTGCCGTGATCGTACATAAATAAAGAAAAATTCTAACAAATAAATACTTAAATAGGTAAATATTAAATAATCCTTCTACTCGCGAAATAGAAGTTATAATAGAAAGCTCAAAAATATTAAGTTTTATAAACTTGATACTTTTAAACATAAGAACAAAATATTTCATACAACGACTAAAAACTGGTATTAAAAAAACTGAAAGTATTATATATAACTAGCATTGCCCGCGGGTCCGCCCGCGTTCAGATGACCTAAAACCAAATTCTTATGTTTTACATATTAGTGTACTCTTACATTGCAATTTTTGTATTTTTTCTCAGAAATTAGATATTTTCACGCGGTAAAAAGTATCCTATATGTTGACCCGGATAACAACCTATCATCATACCAAATTTCATCAAAATTCCTCCAGTGGTTTTTCCGTGATGCGGTAACAGACAGACAGACACACAGACAAAAATTATAAAAACTATAAATTCGGCCTCTGTATCAATAATAATGTCTATTTTAATAAGAATATCCAAAAAATATTTAATGTACAGATTTGGCTTAGTTACAATTTTATTATATGTATAGATAGACAAGTGTAAAGTTTGCCCATGGTTAGCAACTAATAAGTGATAATTCACTTTTAGGTATATTATGTATTTTAAAGATATAGTACCTAGTAAATTTTTTATTAATTATTTCAAATAAAAACAGTTTGGCATCCGTCCGTCCATTTAACCTACGAAAATTAATAGTTTAGGTTGATTGTAGATTTTATTATATGCCGTGAAAACGCAGATGGAGACTCTTCACTTGAGTACGTAAATAAAGAGAACTAAAACTCTATTTTATTTTTCATTTCAAAGTCAATATTATTACTTAACATATACTTATATTCCTTGACATACCTATAATTACTACCTTTACTTACAATATTATAGCAGAAAGTGTTTCCTGAAATAAAAATAAAACAAAACAGATTTATTTTTTAGTAATCATTTATTAAAATAAATAATTCTTAAAATTAATCTATTCATTTTTAGTTATTGGATCAAATAAACAAAGACGCTAAAAATATATTGCAATAGTAAACCTCATTTATGAATGTTTTAACGTTAATTCCTTTAATGTTATCAAAACAAAATAATAAAACTTTATAATTTATATGATGTATTAAATTTTTACATGTAACTTTTTTTTTCCAATTAAATTAAATAATATAAAAGATAAATATTATAAATTAGAGCTCTACAGCTGTTATTGGCGAGTCGATTTTAAGTCATTTTTATGTATGTTTTTTTTTTATTTAAGCATACTTTATATAATATAACCTATAAAAAACCTATTACGTTAATAACAAGGCAGTTCACGTTTATTGTAGAGCCTGTAGAGTTATTATTTAAATAGATTTGTATTGACTTAAATTACGGAAGTTCTACATTTTCTTTATTAAATCATAAATCATAATATAGCTTAAGATTAAAATAATTATAACATAAATAAAAAGCAAAATAAATTATTTAAAATATAATTGTCTACATTCGAAAGACTGTAAATAAAAATTAATTCAACTAAAATTAATTTTTTTAGAGTAAACAGTATAAGATAAATATTTTTTAATTATATGAGGATAATTTGTTCATTTTAATTCTTTAAAGTTAGTTGTTTTATCACTAATCAATATTTCAATAACATGACATTGACTTATGCCGCAATGAATAATAAGTATAATTATTCTCAATTATCAACATTATTATTACCATAAAACTGAATAAAAAATGCAATAAATAAGAAACGAGTTATTTATATGTATATACATACACATATATACATACGTACGTACCTCAACTACCTACCAATTTTTATAGAAAAATAATGGAATAAATAACTTTTATATTCTTTATACGTAAAGTAAGTGTCCATTCACATAAAAAAGTAAAAAAAGAACAACATACTCGAGAATATAATGCGAATTGAATTTATATATTCCTCACATTGAATATGCGATAGAAATAAAGGTCTAAATAGTAGAGTCGACACAACTACAGGCATATTTCAATTCTTATTTGAATTATTGAGATGGATACTTGTAAGAACAATTAGAATTTGCATTGAGAATTTTACCAACATGAAATAGAGGTATTTTTTTATTAAAACACATTTTTTTTTTCTAAAATTACAGATGCTTAAGTGTTTGTTGGTTAGTCCTATCCACGCAGTAACTTAAAGTGAGAGTGTAATAAAATTAAATCCTAATAATCTTACTAATATTGACTGATGTATGTTTGTTACTCTTTCACGCAAAAACTACTAAACGGATTTTGTTGAAACTTTACAATAATATATCCGAGTAACACATACGATTTAATTTTTTAGACATATACATAATTAAACTACGCGTGCTGGGCAGCGGGAAACCCCTAGTTAAACCTATATTGCATGTATCTTGGTACATATTATATGAGGTAATTTCCGTAAGATTGACAAATTTTACTCGAAGACAAAGTTAGAGTAAGGGTTGACCACTAGTAGTAAATATATAATGGCGTAGTTCAGTCTCCCATATATTAATATGCCAATCCCTATAAAATCGGAGGTTGCGGTTTCGGTTTCCGTATGGGGAACACTTATGAGGACCATGAAGTTATTTTAATCTGATAAAGCCTGAATCGGCATTGGGTACTACCTAGCACCAATACTTTCAGAATATTCGTCCTCTATTTACTGTAAAAACGGCTACTGAAACTACTAAAACTAAACTTCTTCTTTTTTTTCTATTGCTTCACCTAGATACCTACTCTAGATAGAAATTTTGTAGAAGATGCTCAGAAGTAATGTCAAATATCTGCCTTATTTGAACCGGATACTTAGAAAGTAGATTATTATTAATTTTAGCCTTAAATCTATTCATTCCCACTAAAAGTAAGTAGGCACCCAATATAGCATTTTTTTATTAATTTAGAGCTCCAAGATATGTAGAGCCAAACAGAAAACTTATGATGTTACTCAGATTTATTACTATATCGTTTACTTCCTCGTTTTGGAAGCGCAACGTTTTGGCAAATTACGACCAGTAGTCTATATGTTAGTCTAGATCATAGTATATTTGCCCCCGAAGGTGTTTCGCCTTGTCATGGTGAGATGGCTCAGTAGCTTTTGGCACTCCAGCCGGCGTGAAACGAAGAGATACACTTGGGGACTGTTGGGTTGCTTCTAGTACTTTTCTGATAGCATTGTAGACCATGAGAGCAAGCTCCGGCTTCTTATGGGAGGTCTGCCTAGCCGTCGGGGCATCGTAGTTGAGTGCGTAAGTGATCTTGCGGTATCATTATAAGGCGGGTAAGGTTTTCTTTGGATTTGATCAGTACTGATATTTCCAGCTGATGAGTCTTTACATAACTACCCGTAGATGATATGGGTAAATGCATTTCCCTACATTAAACAAGATTTTAACGCTTCTGGCAATATTAATAATAAAAATACAATTCATATTAATGATAAGTAGCATTTGTGGAGATATAAGAGGAGGAAATCGAATTTTTAAGGTTTATGTATCGGGTTCGTGCCTTGGTGCCTGAGACCCTATGTGTATATCCACTATCCAGGTTGTCTACCTATCTGTGTACTTAATCATCTACATACGTCCAGCGGTTAGAAGATTGAAAGAGTAATAAACATACACAGATACAAACATACGCATTTATTTATAATAGTAGTGTCACATCCCACATCCCAGAACTTGCAGAACCATAAGATACGTTGCATTGAAAAAGAAGTTGGGAATCCATTGACAAATGGGCACCATTTTAATTAAAACATTGTACCTACCTAAGTCAAAGTAAATTTTTTACCCACATTTAGGTATTTGATATGTTCTAAGTCAAATATAATTATAATTAAAGATATATGTAAATTAATAAACACTATCGATAGATAGCAGTACTAATGAAGCAAATTTTTTTTTATCTTGATTATTTAAAAAAACAGTGCAATCCAATTTAAGAACTATATAGTCGTTTTACATAATACCGTACATTGATTAAACTATATTTTTAAGTAAATAATATTAATTTGATTTAAGCTCATCCAAATATATAAGGAAATCTTTAATAATTTTCTGGCCCACCGCCTTCTCTTCGCCAGGCATTAAATTAAGCCCCGTGATCCAAAACTTATATTCATTGTTCAATACGAACTATTTTATGTTCCGGAATAAAAGGTAACTTTTTTAGCGTAGTCATTCATATATTGTTTTAAAGTTATATTCAAACTCACTATGTTTATCTATTAGAAATACGTTTGGCTCAGTTTGTAGTAACCCTACTTGATGTGCCAGCGGTCGCGGGTTCGAGTCCCGCTGAGGGCATTCATTAGTCTGATGAGCACGAATGTTTGTATTCCAATCATGGGTGTTTATATTTATAATATGTATGTATTTAAATTTATATATATGTAGTGTATCAACTATCTGGTATCCATAACACAAGCCTCGTAGCTTACCATGGAACTAGATGGTGCTGTGTGTTAATGTCCCAATATATTTATTTATTTAGTAATATCATATAAACTATTGTTATGAATAAAAAGAATATTGTCCCATAGACTACGTACTCTGTTTATTATGTGAATGCTGTATACACCTGTAAAGGCGAATCATATCGAATTGCATGTATCTGTTACAATAATTATAGTGTCATTATGATAAGTCGATGGTGCATCTTTCTAATAAATAAAAATAAAATAGAAATTATAGTGTCAA